TCCCATATTGACATATTTTTTATGACTCCTGCGTATATCTTCTTAAGATCCTCAGTCCGGCTTTTCTTTCCAAACACCGAACCGAGCATCAGGGGCTACTGTCTATGCGGTACTATTTTACATATATCAAAATTCTTACCTCAAAGCCTGTTAGAAGGCTGCTGCAGGCTTCGGTCAGCCCGCTCTTGGCAAGCTGCACCTTCTGAATCACCGCACTCATAACAGTGCGGTGTTCCTCTTCGATGGAGGCGCCATTGAGCGCCTCCAGCAAGCTATCCGGCGCCTACGGTTGGACGGAGGCTGCCGGTGTCACGGTCTTGCCCTTCTTACGAAGGGGCCGCCCGCCGGACTCCGGAGCCACTATGGGATCCGGAGCCGAGTCCGGTGCAAAGTCCGGGAGGTTGTCCTGCGACACCTCCGGGGCCTCCTCCTCCTGGCGGGTCCCTTCTCGGGATCCCACCTCGGCATCGTCCGTATCACGGGGGGTGGAGGCGGTCGAAAGAGAATCCATATCCGACGCACCTAAGGACCCGCTCGACGAAGCGGGAAGATCGTCCTTGGGCGGACTGCAGGGTTGTATGCGGCATTAGAAAGACATTGTGTGGCAAAAAAGAAAAACCATGAAGTTATTCGGGAGTCCAGATACTCACGATCTCGACAGGGGCTTGGCCCTTGGAGGCCAGTCCTCGTCGTCGTCACTGGCGTTGGCAGAGCAGTCCGGGGGAAGAGTTTTTCCCTTCTTGGACCCTTCGGCCTCCCTCGTTGGGGAGGCCTTCCTTTTCTTCTCTCCCCCCGCTGGGGGAGAGGCTTTCTTCTTCTCCTCCTCACCTTGGTGAGAGGAGTCGGCCTCGGAGTCATCATCCGATAGCACCTGAAAACGGGAACTCTTCTGAGTCCCTGTGGCCTTCTTCTTGGCCTTCTTCTCCGGCACCACGTGGGGTGCCGGAGCCAGCAGCCCCGTTAGGCGGGCGTCCGCTGGGTCCTCTAGCAATGGGGCCGGACAGATAGTCCGCTCGGCCTTCGCCAGCCAGTCCTGTCAAAGGAAAGGGAGTTTAGATCCCGCATAGAGTCGAACTATGAAAAACAAGCGTCCCGTAAAGGATAAAATCGCTTACCTCGTCAGCCGGATGCTGCGAGCTGAATCCGCGATCTTCGGTAGCGGATGCGGGAGCCTCGGCGCCCTTTAACAGCACCTTCCAGACATCTTCGTATGTAGTGTCGAAGAGCCCGCTCAAAGTCTGGTGCTGCGTCGGATTGAACTCCCACATGTTGAAGCCCCGTCGTTGGCACGGGAGGATCCGGCGGATGAGCATGACCTGGACCACGTTGACAAGCTTGAGCTTGTTGTCCACCAGCTTTTGGACGCAGGCTTGGAGTCCGGTCAGCTCCTCCGAATCACCCCAAGTCCGGCCGCTCTCTTTCCAGGAGGTGAGCCGTGTGGGGATGCCAGATCTGTATTCGGAGGCAGCTGCCCATTCAGGGTCACGCGGCTCGGTGATGTAGAACCACCCCGATTGCCACCCCTTGATGGTTTCCATGAAAGTGCCCTCAAGCCAAGTAATGTTGGACATCCTGCTCACCATGGCGCCTCCGCACTCTGCTTGACTGCCCTTCACAACCTTCGGCTTGACACTGAAGGTCTTGAGCCACAAGCCGAAGTGGGGCTGGATGCAGAGGAAGGCCTCACACACGACGATAAACGCCGAGATGTTGAGGATGAAATTTGGGGCCAGATCGTGGAAATCCAGGCCGTAGTAGAACATGAGCCCCCGGACAAAGGGATGAAGTGGGAAGCCCAGTCCGCGGAGGAAATGGGTAAGAAATACTGCCCTCTCATGGGGCCTGGGGGTGGGGATGAGCTCTCCCTCGTCGGGGAGCCGATGCGTGATGTTGCTGGACAAATATCCGGCGCTGCGCAGCTTCTGGATGTGCCCCTCCGTAACGGAGGAGGCCATCCACTTGCCTCCCGCTCCGGGCATAGTTGGAGGAGGTTGAGGTGAGATGTGCGGACTTGGGCGCTGGAGTTCGAGTTCGCAGGGATGGATAAGCCAAGGAGGAAGAAGGCGTAGGTAAAAGGGTTGGATCTTTATCCCCTTATATGGGCGGACACAAACATGCGTCCCCACCGGCCTGATAAAACTCGCTTATCCCCCAAGCGCCGCAATCAATGGCGTGGTTGGGTTACCCACATCCGTATTGATGGGAATCCCGGAATAAGGGGAACACGATCTCTGCTTCGACAAGACGTGCCAAGGAAACCGCTTCGCTAAACGCGCTGAGGTGGTACAATAAAAACGATTCTAGTAAAGGCTTGGTAGTGGTGTGACGTCACGCCGCAAAATACATCAGCATATTGAACTTGTGTAATATTATTCTCCCTACGGTGGTGCGTGGAATTTATTTTTGCAGAGCCGGACACTATCCTGGCGTTCACAATCTTCTATAAATTATTCGGAGGAAGACCCCGCCTTGCAATGCCGAAGACAACATGCGCCCCGGACTCGTCGTCATTGAAGCCTGGTTCAGGGGCTACTGAGGGAGTTCCGGACCAGGGGGTGTCCGGATAGCCGAACTATCATCATCGGCCGGACTCCAAGACTATGACGATACAAGATTGAAGACTTCGTCCCGTGTCGGGATGAGACTTTCCTTGGCGTGGAAGGCAAGCTTGGCGATACGGATATGTAGATCTCCTACCATTGTAACCGACTCTGTGTAACCCTAGCCCTCTCCGGTGTCTATATAAACCGGATGGCTTTAGTCCATAGGACGAACAACAATCATATCATAGGCTAGCTTCTAGGGTTTAGCCTCCTTGATCTCGTGGTAGATCCACTCTTGTAACACACATCATCAATATTAATCAAGCAGGATGTAGGGTTTTACCTCCATCAAGAGGGCCCGAACCTGGGTAAAACATCGTGTCCCTTGTCTCCTGTTACCATCCGCCTAGACGCATAGTTCGGGACCCCCTACCCGAGATCCGCCGGTTTTGACACCGACAGCAGACTTCACAAAACAGCCCAATGCACTTCAAGCATCACTATGGAACATATCTTCATATAAGATTCAATGCACTTGATGCTCCATAGGAATTGTCATTTAGTACCAAAGCATAGGGCAAATATATCTTCATATATATGGACTTCATCCTTGATTCCGTCCAATATCCTTGAGGCACTATCTATGGACAAAACCTTCAAATATATCTCACTGAAAACATTAGTCCATAGAGATTGTCATTTAATTACCAAAACCACACTTAGGGGCTACATGCCCTTTCAAGGGTCTTTACCTTGCCTCATTGCTATGAAGTGTTAAAGGATGATGAGAAATGGAAGAAGCGTGATGGTTTGGATGATTTGCATTTGAGCAACAAACGCAAGCGAACAATTAAGTTGGATGATGATGAGGAGGAGGAGGATGCATCAAGTGATGACGGCAAGAGAAGCCCCACACCCAACTCGGTTTCATACTCGAAGCCAAAACGACCGGATGGGTGCAAGAAAGACAAAACCGAAAAGAAGAAGAGGAAAGGAGATGATGAGCTCAAAAATGCTATGGAAGCTATTGTGAAGGCTCAAAAATGCCCGTGAAGAAGTCTTGATCCAAAAAAGAGCCATGATCCGCGCCATGTGTGGCAGTGGCCTCGGCGCCATGGGTGGCGGTGGCCTTGGCGGCATGGGTGGCGGTGGCCTTGGCGCCATAGGAGGCATGGGTGGCTTGGGAGCCATGGGAGGCATGGGTGCACCTCCGGCCGCCATGGGAGGCATGGGTGGCTTTGGAGCACCCTCTGACAATATGGCCGCCATGGGAGGCATGAGTTTCGCTTCTCTTATGGGAGGCATGGGTGCACCTCCGGCCATGGGAGGCATGAGTTTCGCTCCTCACACACATTCCCATGAAGATGCCGTTGAAGATCTTGCCAACACCGTCGGAGCTTCACGTGATGCGATGCGTGATGAGGATAGGGAGGAAGATTCATCTTCGGAGGCGGAAGAATCGTCTTCGGAAGATGAGGACGAAGACGAGGAAGATGTTTGATGTGTCTTTCATTTATGTCAGTTTGCATTTTGAACTTGGTTGAATGAACTTGTGGGCATGTACTTTTATTTTCGTCAACTTGTTTGTGACAAATTTCACATGTTCATTGCTTTTTGATGATTGTTTCAAACTCATTTTGTGGCTAAAATGACATGTCAGGCGAGTCGCGCGCGCTGTATTTTTGCGCGCTGCTGGAGCAGCGCGCGCGCTGCATTATAGCGCGGCCGCTGGAGCCAGCGCTGGCGGCCGCGCTAAACCAGCCGAAGCGCGCGCGGCAAACAGGTTTTTTGCGCGCGGCGCATAGTGCGGCTGTTGGAGATGCTCTTAGTATCACATTGAAAATAGCCTTAGACTTTGGCCGCAAAAGAAAAGGAAAAGAAAAGAACCTTAGACTTCCATTTGGCACTCCCATACACCGAAGGGAAATTTCCTTGCTGCCGTACATGTCACCAAAGCATATACCTGTGCCGGGAGCACACAGTACATACACGAATAGCTATTGGTTATCGTCCAAATCATCGTTCTAAACAAAGAGATTGTGAAGATAAAAACCGTCTGAAATCCTACACTACACGGGAAAAAAAACGTCCTAATCGCCCCCTTTCGCTCTCAGTGCCCGGCCGAATGTCAATTCGACCAATCATATGACCGTGTCCACGGAGCAACGAAGCTGTGATCCTCTCAACGTTTTAGATAGAGCAAACAAGAACATACACATACAAGCGCACAGGCACAGCTGCAAGCCTGCAACGCTGTTTGGACCCGAAATTTACACAGCGAAGAATCCAAAGCTCCTTGGTACAGAGTGTTCTCTTCCATTCTTCCTGCGCCTATATAAGCCATGCATGCAAATGATATCTCTCATCTCAGACTCACCAAAGATGAAGACCATTTCTTCATTCTCCCTGCTTGTCCTCTTTCTGGCTGCACTGCAACTGCACGCCAATGCCTCCCACTCCCTGTCTCAGGAGGCTCAGCTCAAGAAATTCATCTCCTCCAGGAAGAACAGCGCCAGCAGCACCGACACGTTCCGAGTGCGTAACATAGCTGACAGGGTTGCCGGCAGCCTGAGTACGGAGAGCACTGTCTCTGACCAGAGCTCCATGAAGGCCGCCGACAAGATCACGACGTTGCCCGGCCAGCCAGAGGGCGTCGACTTCGACCAGTACGGCGGGTACGTGACGGTCGATGCGGAGAACGGCCGCGCGCTCTTCTACTACCTCGTCGAATCGCCTTCCGGTGCCTCGGACAAGCCTCTCGTCCTGTGGCTTAACGGAGGTTAGAATGATCCATATGTTGATAACTGAACATGTCTTGTAGAAATTTCTCTAGGACAGTACTGACACTTGCATATACAGGGCCGGGATGCTCGTCGCTCGGATTCGGCGCAATGCAGGAGCTCGGCCCGTTCCGCGTAACTGAGGACAACAAAACGCTCAGCAGAAACATGAACGCATGGAACAACGGTAACCCATGTCTTCCTGTACTCGTTACAATCTTTGAATTTGCCCTGCCTTATATCACTGGAAAATCAACCCGGGGCCACATGGAAGTTTCAGAGGGGTGGGGGGAGGGGGGCAAATAAATAATTTTGAAGTGTGGGTGGAGTAAAGCAAAGTGTGAGAACTGAGAAATGATCTAATTCAGAAATACTAATAGTTTTCTTGTGACAGTGGCTAACGTGATCTTCCTCGAGTCGCCCGCCGGAGTGGGTTATTCCTACTCGAACACGTCTTCCGACTATGATCTCAGCGGAGACGAGAGAACAGCCGATGACGCCTACGTGTTTCTGGTGAAATGGCTGGAGAGGTTCCCGGAGTACAAGGACCGGGCCTTCTACATCTCCGGGGAGAGCTACGCCGGACACTACGTGCCGGAGCTTGCCGCCACCATCCTACTCCACAACACATACAACAACAGAACCGTCATAAACCTTCAGGGCATCTTGGTACGTCAAATTAACTAACTAGCTATAATTAGATGAAACATTATAAAATTTTTGGTTTTTCTTCCGCTGAAAACAACTAATTTGGATCCTGTCTTCGACTGAAGGTGGGAAATCCGTACCTTGATGCCAACAGGAATATTAAGGGGGCGGTTGACTACTTCTGGACCCACGCGGTGATGTCGGACGAGGTCTACGCCAATATCACCAAGAACTGCGACTTCGACAACTTGAATGGTACATTTACAGATGCCGCATGCATGGGAGCTGCCGTGGCGTTCGACTCTGGCTACATCGATGGCTACAACATATACGCTCCGGTGTGCATTGACGCGCCCAATGGAACGTATTACCCCGCTGGCTACGTGAGTCCACAGTTCTTATCTTTCTGAAGAACATCATTTCTTATCAAAACGAGAGATAAAAATGGACAACATTCTGTTAAAAAAATAGCTCTATGTGCTGAACAGCTAACCGTTGTATTTTTTCTCTTCAAATTGCAGTTACCTGGGTATGATCCGTGCAGTTATTATCCTACGGATGCCTACCTCAATGATCCAGCGGTGCAGATGGCTTTCCACGCTAGAACGACAAAGTGGTCAGGCTGCGCGTAAGATCCTCCCACTGGAGCTAATGCACACAAATTTCACCCACACATTCGTACCTCATGTGACTTGTACATGTATGCAGACACTTGAACTGGACAGATGGGCCAATGTCCATGCTGCCAACCATGAAATGGTTGATCGAAAGCAAGCTCCCGATTTGGATATTCAGGTAACAGACAAGTACTAGTACAATCCAATACGCTCACACCACCGTTTGAAAGTACTTCGATAGTAACAAACCTGCCTGCATATTTCAGTGGTGATTTTGATTCTGTGTGCCCGCTGCCGGCGACGAGGTATTCTATCCAAGACATGGCCCTCTCTGTCACCACTCCATGGCGCCCATGGACAGCAAAGGAGGAGGTAAACCTTGTGGTGGAAACTAGCATTCATCATAGATCACCTTGAAACTGGTGGCTTTTGACAAGGATGGTTGCACTTGCAGGTGGGAGGCTATGTTCAGCAGTATGCCGGGGAATTCACGTTCCTATCTGTGAGGGGAGCTGGCCATATGGTTCCATCCTTCCAGCCTGAGAGGGCATTGGTGATGTTGAGCTCCTTCCTGCAAGGCGTGCTCCCACCTTACGTAGAACAGCAGTGATTCATGGTGCCCTTAAAACTCCATCCATGAGAAGTCTTGGTTATCGCCAAGCTTCATGACAACCTAAATGTGGATGGAGTTTCCATAGTCTTTCAATCTCTTGGAATTTTTTTTTTTTGCTTAATGTGTGGTTTAATTAATATACTTGTATCCGGTTACTGTTGAGAATGGTTGCCTAGTGGACATGGATTTCTTTTGAACGAATCTAGTACAAGATCTTATATAAAGATAAACATATTTTATGTCTACCTCGATTATTTTCCCGAAAACGCAAATGTTGCATCTTATTGTATTGATAAAAAGGTAAGATATTTACAAGGCTAAGTCTAGGCAATTATTCGAACACCCATGACAAGACAACAAGAGATGTTTGTTGGATAAACATTATAACTCACACAATAGAAAAACAAACCGCGGGCCTTATGGATAATTGGATATGAATGCACTTTCCATAGAAGCTACACATTTGTCAAAATGTCTGTCACATTGAGGGAGAATCCAACTCCACATAGAATGGATAGAATTGGACCTCTACCACTTGAAGAAGGCAGTAAATCTTCAATGGACCCAAATTACCAGTGTCACACAAACTTCAC